GTAGCGGTCAAATATGTATGTTTTGCTTCACTCGTCCAGTACTACTAATCCATGTCGATGAGTCATAAAAAATCACATTTGTGCCCTTTGGTGCCCACGTCGTTATTTATCCAAAATAGAAGGTTACCTGCGTGTCACTGAGATGTAATTTTTCAGCTAATTTGGTCCTTTCATCTCCAGTTAGATATGGATTTCGTAGGAATTCTTGCTCAAGTTCGGCAAGCTGTTGCGATGTAAATGTTGTTCGTGGCCGTTTTGGGCGAAATAAGTCGAGTGCCTTGGGAAAAAGCATTTCTTTCACCTCACCTTTCGAATCTGTATAATGTATTGAATTGAATAAAATATTACAGGCTGGCGGCATGGAAACAGTAAAGTATTAGTGCGATGAATGAGGCTAAATTTCGTAATAAATAGACGATTTTTTCAAACCCTTTTGAACAGGGGGTGCAGTTACACAAAAACGAGCATTATGGCGTGGTGACATATATTTGTTCGTATAAATAGGTATCTTTATTTTGTATGCGAAAAATCTACAAAAAGTACACCAAAAATGTGAAAAAATACTGCGGATTATGAAAAATATTACCTAAAATTCTGAGTACTTGGCAATATTCTGGAACTGTTGTCATCGTCCGATAAAACTTTTTCTCTCCGATTCTTGGCCGTGTATCTGAAATGAATCTTTCCGAATCATATCAAGAAACGCTAGAACGTATAATGGGTCAGTGTCTGGGACAGCGATTGATTAATTTAAATTTCTAAAAACAAAGTATCGCATAAATGTAATAATTCATTGCACAAATATGCAGTTGCTTGTTGATTTGCGAGTGATTCAAAATCATTGCGTTTTGAAAGTGCACTTTGATGAAGCTTTCCTTCAGATATGTTCTTTTTTTTAAAAAGTGTTAGGTCCTTATGGATGCATTTGTGCATAGATATGAATATATATATATATATATATATACATATATATATATATATATATGCGTATATCTCTCTCTTTTTCGATACGGGTAATTCAGATCCGAAAAGAAGATCAGGACCACCCTGCCAACTTAGAATACTGTTTGTTCAAATCAATTCGGCAGCAGATTAGAAATTTCACTAAGGCAGTTGCTGAGGATAAGTTTTGAGAAGAAATCTGAAACAAAGTTGGTTTAGTGATAGCGCTTGGAGCTTTTAACAATTAAGGGAACTTATTCGTGAGTAGAAAAAGTTAGAAAATTCATGCATACCAAAGCAATCATGTCAGGAACCATAAAATACAAAAGGAACATTGTAAAATGAAAGAAAATAGCACAGACTGCTTGAACGTTTATCGTTTCAAGCTTTACACAACGAGGCCGTTG